ACACAGCCATTTTGTTGTAAAAAAAAAAATCCCAATTAATTGGGAGTTTCAGGCTGACTGTGGGAAGTATCACATAGAGAAAAACCTAGGATTATGGATCGTAGGCACAGCTGAACTCCCAGTAGCAATCAAACCCAGCTCATCATGCTGAAAGTGGGATCTGCAGCTCCCTGATGAGCTGCTCTGGCTGATGCTGAACAGGGCACACAAGCCATCCTTTCTGGCCCCGGCCTGAATTGCAGATTCATAAGCAAATACATGGGTTTGATCCTTTTAAGCCTCAACTGCCATCAAGTTATGAAGCTATATGTCTGGTTAGACTGGGACTCTGGTTATACGCATTTCAGATCTATGTGCTAGATTCTCCACATTTCTCCTCTGTCGATTCTCTTTACAACATTCTGTATTTTGGAGTGGTAGTATCAGAACTTACCCCTAGACAATGGACTCTTTAGCTGTTCCTTATCGTGTACAGCTTTACTGATATTTGATCATTTTGCTTATCTTCCGTGAGTTTGGCAATGACCTGGAAATGATGCTTTATCTAGGACCTACTTTTATAAAGCAGAGGAGCACTTTCAGTGACCTTGCCTTTTATAACTCCAAAGCAAGACATGACAACAACCAAAAGAAAAAGCAAACAAGGAAAAAAATCAAAGACATAAAATATAATTTCCTGAGCTGAAAAAAAAAAAAAAAACAAACCCAGAATACAGAGGCTGAAATACACCATATACTGTATTCTAGGTAAAAATTAAGAAACTAGAAAACCATCTGAACATGTTCTGTGAAATTTTAGAATGATAAAGATAATGAAAATAATTCTCAATGTAAGGTTGTGATTAGTGAGTTCATCTCCAGAGGAATGTAAGTAAGCCTGACCAGGACTTTTTCAGAAAATCATGGAATCATGAAGAATGAACTTTATGATTCAACAACTCTATTTTCAAACCATTATGGTAGGCGGAGTGTGTATATGCACGTGTATTAGAGCGACAGGAAGACATTCTCAGTATCTACTGATTCAGAAAGTAGTTGTTAAGGAATATGTCTAAAAATATATTTGAAGATATATCACTAAATACATAGGCTTAACCTTGATGTCCTATAGACCCATGTATAAGAACTTGCTCTGCTTCATACTAGTTGAGAGACCATAAGTCTTTACATTTTCCCATCAATTTCCAGGTTGATGCTACTCTTATGCTCTAGCCCACTGTGCCAGAACATGACTAACTAAAGTCTTTGACAGTAAAGGGAACGTTGGATGCCTTCTTGTATTCTACAGCACATGTGTAGTGTCTGGGACATCATAAATGGTGAATGAATCTAAGATAAATGACAGATTATATGAACGATTACCAATACAACTACCTCCTTAAAACATATGTTAGCACCCAGAACAAGTTAAGAAAAATGATCAAGTCTATGGAAAGTATATTGAAATACATGTAACACTGAATCAAAGAAACAGGCAGAAATATAAAAATAAGACGTTAGAATAAACAACCAGGTATATAGAGGAGATAAATATGAGGATCACTTTGCTTAATCTTATGCAAATGAATTTGAAATTTTGACTATAAAGCATAATGTTCTAGAAAATATATGTAATGAAACAAGAGGTTAAGAAATTTGTCAAAAGCCATCTCAAAAAGCATCAGCATCAATTTATTTCAAAAGTAAATTTTACAAAATATTTAAGGAATGCAATTAAATTGTTTGAAAGCATAAAGGAAGTGAACGTTTCTAAAAGGTTTTTAAAAAATATAGGAAAATTTTGGTAGAAAATGTAATAAAGGCAGCATAATAAAATAAAACTACAGATGGATTTGCCTAATGGATATTGATGTAAAACTTCTAAAATGATCTAGCAAATCAAATCCAGCAGCTTATTTAAAGATTGAGAGATACTCTTCAGGAGTGATTCATTTAATAAATTTAATATATTAATATGTTTTCCACATTAATTACAGGCTAATGCAGAGAAACATGTTTGATGCTAACAAAGTACTTGATAAAAATGCCAATATCATTCTAGATTAACAAATTTGATAAGTAGAAATATATAATACTTAATTAGCAATGTGCCGAATAGTGAAACACAAAAATATTTCCATTAAATAAAGAAATAAGACAGGGGTGTTGATTATCACTCCTGTTACCTAGATTCTGTGGGAAATACTTTCCAATGATTTGAAAAATGATAAATATGAGATTATAAAAGTTCTAACATAGAAGTAAAAATTTAATTTACAAATACCTAGATAATTGCATAAACTTGTAAAACCCAAAATCAACTGGGAAAACTGTTGTTAATGATGAAAGAATTTAGTAAGAAAAATTTAAAAATTGATATTGAAAACCCTGTTGGCTTTATTTTGTTCAAATAAGATGTACTTATATTAAAGAAAAATCAGTTAAACAAAACTTACTAAGTAAACACCCAGAAATAGGGGTAAGTAAGAGTGTGCTAGATTTATGTAAATAAACTTTCAAGTGCTATAATAAATAGGACACCAAAAGTGAAAAAAAATTTAAAGTGATCTAAGAAAGATTAAAATACATTTTGAATGGGAATTAATGCCCAGTTCTATTTAAACTAATACAATAAAGATTCTAATTTACCCTGTGTTAATGTATAAATTGTATGTGATCCCAATAAAATTACCAATAGAATTGTTTTTTATAAAACTAGGCATGATAGGTAATGATTAGTCAGGTAATGATTAGGCAGATAATTTTGTAGAATATAAAGGAACAAACTACATTTTTACATTTTACAAAGCTTCTGTAAGCAAGAGCTTGGTACTTCTACATTATGTATAAATAAAGAAATGAGACAGAGTCTTGACAAAGACTCAAATAATGTGGATATTTAGATTATGGTACTGTCAGCCTTTCCAATCAGTGTGCTAAAGGCAGAATAATAAAAAAATGATGATGGGACAATCTATTGAGAAAAGAACAAATTATCACAGACAAAATTTAGCACTTTCCTGAGAAAGAAAAGTGAAAAATAAAGGAATCAGACTCCTTGACTTCAGACTATACTACAAAGCTACAGTAATCAAAGGCAGTATGGTTCGGGCATGAAAACCGAAATATAGATTAATGGAACAGGATAAAAAGTCCAGAAATGAACCCATATATCTATGGTCAATTAATCTATGACAAAGGAGACAAGACTATACAATGGAGATAAGACAGTCTCTTCAATAAGTGGTGCTGGGAAAACTGGACAGTTACATGTATTAATAGAAGAATGAAACTAGAACATTCTCTAACGTCATACACAAACTCAAAATGGCTCAAAAGCCTAAATGAAGGCTGAATACTATAAAACTCTTAAAGGAAAACAGAACACTCTCTGACATAAATCACAACAATGTCTTTTTGGATCTACATTGTAGCTTAATGAAACTAAAAACAAAAATAATCAAATGGGACCAAATTAAACTTAAAAGCTTTTCACAGCAAAGGAAACCACCAAAAAAATGGAAAGACAACCAATAGAACGAGAGAAAACATTTGCAAAGAAAGCAACCAACAAGGGTTAGTTCCCAAAATCAGCTCATGCAGCTCTATATTAAAAAACAAACAAGCAAACAAAACCCAATAAAAAAATGGGCAGAAAATCTAAATAGACATTTCTCCAAAGAAGATATACTGATGGCTAAAAAGCACATGAAAAGATGCTCAACACTGCTAATTACAGAGAAATGCAAATTAAAATTACAATGAGATATCATTTCATGCCAGTTCAGGATGGTCATCATCAAAAAGTCTACAACAATAAGTAACTGGAAATGATATGGAGAAAAGGGAACCCTGCTGTTGGTGGGACTGAAAATTGCTACAGCCATTATGGAGAACAGTATGGAAATTTCTTAAAAAGCTAAAAATAGAACTACTATATAATTCAGCAATCCCACTCCAAGGCATATGTCCAGAGAGAACCATAATTTGAAAAGATACATGTACTCCAGTGTTCATAACAGCACTGTTTACGGTAGGCAGGACATGGAGGCAACCTAAATATCCACTGATGGAGGAATGGATAGAGAAGATATGGTATACATGTGCAATGGAATATTACTTGGCCATCAAAAAGAAATGTTGCCCTTTGCTGCAACAAGGATAAACTTAGAGATGATTACACTAAAAAGTTAATTAAGTCAGACAGGGAAAGATAAACTTACACACTACTATATATAAAATAATAATCAACAGGGACCTATTGTATAGCAGAGGGAATACTATTCAATATTCTGTAGTAATCCATATGGGAAAAAAAATTGGAAAAAGAATGGAGATATATATATAACTGAATCACTTTGCTGTACATGTGAAACTAAGCATTGTAAATCAACTACAGTATATAATAGAAATTTAAAAATCCCAAATTTATCATTTATAGAAATTTACCAATAATTTAGTATACAGATTTTTGTATACTTACAGCAGTCTACATTTTTCTAAGCAAAGTATTTAATTCAGAAGTCACAAGACATTGATGAATATAACTTCATAAAAATTTAAAATTCTACTTGCCAAGAATACTAAATAAAATTAGTACAATCTAAACAACTTGGGAAATACTTGTAGCAAATATGATAGGTGAATATGCATAAATTTCTTAAATAAAATTCTTACAAATCAATTAACAAAAGACACTAGCTCTATATAAAATAGACAAAGTCACAAATGTTCAATATTTTTTAAAAACTTGTATTTATTTTTCTAAAGATATTAATTTTCCTCAAAATCAGAGAGGTATAATGAAACAAAAATTATTTTTTTACAGAGTAGATATAGTAAAATATTTTTGGTTCTTGTGAGACTATATTAAACAACATTCTCTCTCCCAAACTGTTGTTGGGAACATTAATTAGCATAATCTTCTTGGAGGGCAACTAGACAGTATTTCCTAATATTCTTAAAACATAATTTATTTTAAAGTGCACACATCATTTAACAACTTCACTTTCATCCTGCAGGCAATCAGCATATGTCAAAGGAACACACGTGAATCAGTTCTAATGAAATAGATGAACCTAGAGCCTATTATACAGAGTGAGGTAAGTCAGAGAAAAACAAATATTGTATATTAATGCATATGTATGGAATCCAGAAAGATGGTACTGATGAACCTATTTGCAGGGCAGCAATGGAAAAGTAGACATAGAGAATAGATTTTTGGACACAATGGAGGAAGGAAAGGGTGGGCTAAATTGAGAGAGTAGTATGGAAACACATTACCATATGTAAAATAGGCCATGGGAATTTGTTGTGTGAAGCAGGGAGCTCAAACTTGTGCTCTGTGACAATGGGATGCCATAGAGGGATGGGATAGGTGGGAGGGGACATATGTATGCCCATGGCTAATTCATGTTGATAAATGACAGAAACCAGCAAAACACTGTAAAACAATTATCTTCCAAATAAAAAATAAGTTTTAAAAATGTGTATAAATATACATAATACAGTTGAAAAGAATATTTTTTGATAGACACAAACAACTGCTCTAGAAAGGGACTGAGTGTTGGATGCAAAATTCATTATCATTCTACAGGCATTTTTACTCCTTGACATGTTTGCCACCATACATGTTCCTCATTTTTTTTTTTTTACTTCAAAACAAAAACTAGTTATTAAAGAAAAAAAGTTTCACCTCCTCAAAAATATCTCCCAACTTAGACTGACACAGTATCAGAAATTCTCTCTATGAATCAGACTTTGGGGAAATTCCACTGTCTTTCAAAGGCACTGTTAGAAAAAATCCATGAAATCCCAGACTCAGCACCTACTGGTGAACTTCACATAGTAGCCACTCGTTTTTTCCTGCTGTGTGTCCAAAACTAACCAGGTCTGTCAGGAACACCCACCATGGTGAGCCTTCTCTGTGCTTCCCTTCATGGAGTTTATCCCTTTATGTGCCCTAAAGATGCTTTGTGAGTCTCTAATCAGCTTCATATCTGATTTATCTCTCCAGCCCCCACAGAATATCTCTTAATATTTTTTTACACTGTAAACACTCCATAAATATCTTAATCAAAATGTAAATTAAAATTTTATTTTTAAAATTAAATTCAATGTAAGACACGAAAAATACTCTTGTAGCACTGCCTAGCATTTACCATGACCTACGCAGTGTTCTAAGCACTTTACATATATCTTTTATACGTAACATACATTGTTATTCTTTATTCTATAAGTGACAATATATATATATATTTACCCAGGTAGTACAGATAGAGATAGGATTTGAATCCATGCAGTCTGGCTCCACTGTGCACATGTTCTTAACCAATGTCCATCACCCATTCCTGTCCTCAGCCCTCTTTAACCAACCTAGATTCCACGATCCATAGTTACGTTCCTTTCCTCATGAAGAGGTTCATCCTTCTGGCCACTCTTGCTCTCATATTGTCTCTAGACAAAACCCTACTCTGGTCAGGCCCAACTCAACTGTCTCTTCAACACCTGCCCAGAAAAGACAAAGGGGCAGGCTACATACACACAGCCTTGCTCATGGATCACAATTTCCATTTATAACCCAGAATTCCAAGAGGGCACTTTTTCCCACCCTGCAATCCTACGGGGTCCAGGTCTTATCACTCTTTTATTGTCCTTACACCCCATTTTGTTCCTTACGCCCTTCTGGCCTCACCCTCCCTGGGAGCTGGTGACTTTGCCTCTTCTTCTCTGAGAAAAATGTTCACAGGGGCTAGGTAGTTAAAACTATGCAGAACTAGGAGTAGTGCATAATAGGGAGTGATGGGAACTAAAGCTGCCTGCCAAATCCAAAGCGATGGGAATGGTTAAATGCTCTCAGATCCAATTTATCATGGCTATGAAGTGGGCCAGGCTGGTGGTCAGAAAGTGTGGTCTTTTCAAGAGAATTTGAATATTCATACTTTGATGTAAATTTTCCTGATTTTAAATATTTAGTGGAAAAAAAAATGATTCAGCAAGCTAGGAAATACCTTATAAACACCCCTTCCCCCAAGTTCATAACTCTGTAGAGAAACATGAATCAAGAAGAATCGGTCAGTATTTTAATATAATTTCAAGGAAGGCAACCAGATTTCTAAGAACAGTTTCAATTCAAGCTACCATTCATTCTCAAGAACTTTCTCTTTAAACTTCTACGATCAGTTCATGATCCCAGAAGGCACTTAGGTCTATGTGAGACTTGAAAAAAGGTTATTTTTAATGCTGTGAGCATAGGGAAACCATGGGAGACAGGGTAGCACCCTTGGGCTAGTAGCAGCATTGTTCTCACTGATTGGGTGCATTGCAGAACACCTATACATTTATAATTTTGTGAGCTGATACTTTTCTTCCAGGAATACAGCCAGTCTTGAAACTTAGGAGCAAGTTAAGAGAATAAATTTTTCTTAGCTCATTTTCCTCCCTCCCACATTAGCAAAACCCAGTTGGGATTCAGAGGGCGAAGCCCGTCACTAATGTGATCCTTACATGCTGGTCTACCAGGGCACAGGACAGGGTGGATCAGAGTGGGGGGTGGGCTTTGGGAGGAAAATGGAAGTTCAGGCGAAACCCCACCATTAGTTTTATAGAGCAGCTACTATTCCTATTCTCTTTTTATATTGAGAAAACAGATGGGTTTAATGACTTACTCAAAATCACAAACACTAATTGGTAGAACAGGCTGAGCTTCATAACTCCAAAGCCTAAAAGCATTTTTCTGTACTGTTTCTTCACCATGAAATTCTCTGCTATATGTAAAATTTGAAAAAAAAAAAAAAAGAATCACTTAAAGAATTCAATATGGTCTACATGTTAAATGAGTTACTTATTTAGAAGAACTGATTTAGCAGAAAGCTGCAGATTTACACATTCAATACATATTTACTGAGTGTCTGTGATGCTGTATTGAAGGGTGAACAGGATATAATGTCCCTTCTTTCAGAGATAAAACTTAGAATCTAGCACAAGACAGTAAAGAAACAATATAAATACATAAGTAGAATCTTTTAATTAAATAATAAGTGATGTTAAAAAAATTCTAAATAAAGCACCATTGCAGAACAAGAGGTCAGAACTATATAGTCCACTGGCACAATCTGACCTACCACCTAGTTTTGTATGGTCTGTGATCTAAGAAAGGCTTTTACATTTTTTTCAGTTGTTGGAAAAATATCAAAAATAGAGTAATAGTTTGTGACGCAAAAAAAAACTATAGGAAATTCAAATTTCAGCATCTATAAATAAAGTTTTATTGGATGACAACCCTGCTCATTTGTTTGTGTGTTATCTGCAGCTGTTTTCATGCAGCTGTGGTACAGTTCAGCAGCTACAACAGAGACCATATGTCCTGCAAAGCATAAAATGTTTACTTTCTGGCCCATTCCAGAAAGTGACTGTTTGGGGTATAACTACTTTAATTTGGGTGGTCAGGAAAGACATCTTAAAATGAACATGCATTGTGACATGGATGACAGAGAAAGGGGCTTTATTCCACATTAACTTGGGTTGTCCTACAAATTTTCCTGTAAGAAATAGTCTAACAACCATTCTTCCTGTTCCAGTACACCCTGAAAGGAAAATAAATGGCAGACTTGAGCCATCATCTGTCCATAGGCCAAGTTTCCAAAATATAGAAATGTTGGCTCCAAAAGAAATATTTCCAAAAGGTTATATATGAAAACAAGGAGAGGAATTATTGTTATAACACCACGGGTGAGCTTTTTCAGCCAAAGATTGCATATGTTATTTGGATTTCAGACCATTGGATAGATTAATCAGAACTCTCTATAGAAGTGTTTGAACCAAAGGAAACTTGTCCTTTCTGCCAAAAGTCCACTGAGTCATTAACAGAATATAATAAAGATTTGAGGAAAAGTTTTGGAAAAGTTGTCACAAATTCTCCACAGGAGGAACACCCATCCAGAAATGTTTCCAAATTCCACCCATATTTTAGGTGGAGACTGGGTTTTGCTGCTGTGTGATTTGAGGAAGCCTAAGGAAACCTGGTGGCTCAGATGGTAAAGAATCCACCTACAATGCGGGAGACCCGGGTTCAATCCCTGGGTTGGGAAGATCCCCTGGAGAAAGGAATGGCAACCCACTCCAGTATTCCTGCCTGGAGAATTCCATGGACAGAGGAGCCTGGTGGGCTACAGTCCATGGGGTTGCAAAGAGTCAGACACGACTGAGCGACACACACACAAGGAAACGTTCTTCTCTGTCATTTGACTAATGCTTAGGAATTGCTTCTCAGACTAAGCAGAGAGAAGAGAGGACAGGCCTGCTGAACTCTGCAGGATTGCCACTTCTCACTTGATTCTCATATGAGATGAGAACACATGTAATTTTTATGCTTCGTCTGTATGAAAACCATACAAATGTGAAAACTTAGGTAATAAGAGGTAAGTATTATCATATCAGCTTTTACAGGTGAAGAAAGTGATGCATACAAAGTTTAAAAATCTTGCTGAAATTCATAAGACTAATCCATGAATGGCTGAAATATGAATCCTGCATAAACAATAATTCAGAGATTGCTGTAGTGATCACACACCCACACACACACACGACACTGCCAATGCCAATGTCTGTTTCTCGACACATGGGAAAATAAGTTAAATCTTTCAAAGCATAGGCTTTTTAGTGAACCACGCCTGGATTAAAATTCCAGCTAACAAACCAATGTGAAAATTCATTGAGTATCTTAAGTAACTTTTAGAAACTTCATCTACAAAAACTATTTTTAGCATGATTTATCACTTACCCACCTTTACTGAGTTACCTTATCTGCCTTTTCATAATTTAACTTTTGTTGAACACATTCAAGCTAATTTCCTTAAGACACGGTAAGTGTAACAAATCAAATATTAAAAGACCAACACCAAAATAGACTAAAAATAGGCAAAATAAAAATGCAGTTCCCAGGAGAAGAAAAAAGGTGAATACACTAATACAAAGAGGAAAAGGAGAGGAGATTAAAATGACAGAGTAGGAGGATGCAAAACTCCACTCACTCCCCAGAATCATTAAAAATATATTGACATGTGGAACACTTCTCACTGAAAACTAATGAGACTGGCTGGAAGACTCCTATATGACCAAGGTTGTAAGAAAGACACACCCAGAATTGGGTAGGAAGATGAGTGATCAGACCTAGAACTGCCTCTGTGAGGGGACTCAGATCAAAAGGGCTATAACGTGGGCAGAGACCCTCCCTGGGGTGTGAGCTCTGCCAGTCACATATTGGGATCCTCCAGAAGGCAGGTCCCCTTGGCTGGTTGGCGGGCCACTGGGACTAACAGCAGGGCTGAAGGAAGCCAGGACTCTGCTCATGAGGAACGTGCTTGCTTGCTCCTGAGAAGGGTGGAGAGGGTGGATGGAGAGTTTGGCTGCCTGGTTTCCCCTGCCTGACACGGCACACGCCCCAATCTGAGTTCAGTGACCCCTCTGGCCCTGCTTGCTTCACAGCACAAGGGGCAAGGGCTTCCACATCCTAGGTGAAAGCTTGGCCTTGAGACAGAGGTGCTTCAGACCCAAAGCCACATCTACCTGAGCAGGGCAGGTACAGTATTACAGCTGCTTACACACGCAGCACATCAGAAAAAGCCCTGGTCTCTTTCTTTGACTGGACCCCCACACTTCTGTCCTGACTTGTGCCAAGAGCCCACATGGGCACCAATGCCCTGTGGTACAGTTCCACTCCAGGATGAGGGCAGCAAAGGCTGAAGGGAGAGGTCAGCTGTAAGGGACAAAGGAAGCTCAGATCTGAAGTGGTATCTTCAGGAGCAAGGTGGGGGCAGGCATTACTGGTGCTTAGACAAGCAGTGTGTCGAAGCAGTCTGGGTCTCTGACTCTAGCTGAAGTGCTACAGCCAACGCCCTGACCCACGTTGAGTGCCAACACCACCCACTGCTCCAGAACTGTTCCCATTTGGGCTGAGGATGTAGGCACTTAGAGGGAACAGAGCCAGCTCAGCCTCAGCTCTGCAGGGCTTCTGCTCTGGCAACATGGGACCTGTCTCCATCCCTCACAGGGTGATGGTTATTGAGCCAAAGGGAAACCTCCACTCACACCTGGCTCTGATTCCAGCCTCTCCATTTCCAGCCCCACCTTCTACCGAGGTTATAGCCACCAGCACACATTGAGGAAAGATTTGACTTATGTTCATTCAAAGTCAGCTCTTCCACCAAAGCTGCTGGGCACACACAGATTCTATGGGGATGCTCAGCATAAGGACTCCCCTTCAAGACCACATTAGGAAAGCATTTCACCTAATTTCATAGACACAGGGGAGTTTATCTCAATTGAAGAACTGAATTAAAAAATGGATGAATACAGTGAGAATTTTAACAAGGAACTAGATAATATAAAAAAAGAGCAAGTCAGAACTGAATATAATAACTGAAGTGAAAAACACACTTGGAAGAATTAACAGCAGAGTAGGTGATACAGAAGAATGATAAAGTGGCTTGGAAGATTGAATAGAAATCATCCAATCAGAATAGGAAACAGAAAAACACATTTTTAAAAATAAGAACAGTTTAAGGGACATCTAGGACAATATCAAGCATACAAACATTCACATTATAGCAGTCCCAAAAGCAGAAGAGAAAGAGAAGGGGGTCAAAAGTATATCTGAAGAAATTATGGCTGAAAACTTCCCAAATGTGAAGAAGGGAACAGATATGCAAGTGCAGGAAGCACAGAGGGTCTGAAACATGATGAACCCAAATATAACCACACCAAAAATACTGCAATTAAAATGTCAAAAGTTAAAGAGAGAATTCTAAAAGAAGCAAGAGAAAAACAAAGTCATATACAAGGGAACCCTTCTAAGGCTACCAACTAATTATTCTGCAGAAGCTTTAAAGGTCAGAAGGGAGTGGCATAATATATTCAAGGTGCTGAAAGGGAAAAACCTGCAAAACTAAGATACTCTACCCAGCAAGATTATCATTTATAGTTGAAGGAGAAAGAATTTCTCAGATAAGCAAAACCTGATAGTTCATCATTACTAGACTGACCCTAAAAGAAATCTTAAAAGTTCTTCTCCGAGTAGAAATTAACAGCTATAACAAGATGGAGCTAAAGGAAGGAAAAAATTCCACAAAGTGAAAATGTAATAAATGCTGAGAACCAACCATTTAAATACGCTAGTACAAAGATTAAAAACAGACAATTGACTATAACTACAATAATCAGTAGAGGAATAAACATGAAGATGTAAAACCAGAAAGAAGACAAGGATGCCCCTCTCACCACTTCTGTTCATTGTAGTATTGGAAGATTTGTAGTCCTAACCACAACAATCAGATAAGGAAAAGAAATAAAAGACATAGAAATCAGAAGGGAAGAAGTAAACTGTCATTATTTGCAGATGACACAATACTGTATATAGAAAACTGAAATATCTTCATCCCAAAACTACTAGAATAAGCAAACACAGTTAAGGTGCAATATACAAGATTAGCACACAGGAATCTCTTGCTTTTCTATACACTGATAATGAACCATCAGAGAAAGCAAGAAAACAATCCCATTTATAATAACCTAGGGAAGAATAAAATAGCTAGGAATGAACTTAATCAAGTAGGTGAAAGATCTTTACTCTGAATACTCCAACCCATTGATGAATGAATTTGAAAATGATGCAAAGAAATTAAAAGGTATCACGTGTCCTTGGATCGGGAGAACGTTGTTAAAATGTCTATATTATCCAAAGCAATCTACAGATTTAATACAATTCCTATCAAAATAGCCATGGCATTTTTCACAGAATGAGAACAAATGATCCTATCTCTTTTATGGACTACAAAAGACTCTGAATTGCTAAACCATTCTTGAGAAAAAAGAAGTAAAGCTAGAGGTATCATGCTCCCAGATATAATATTATACAGAGCTATAATCATCAAAGCAGCATGGTACAGGCACAAAAACAGACACACATTGATCAAGAGAATTAAAGAGATCCAAGAAATCCAATAAATAAGCTCACACATTTGCAGTCAACTAATCTGCGAAAAGGAATCTAGAATATATAATGGTGAAAAGAGAGTTTCTTCAATAAGTAATGCTGGAAAAACTGGACAGCTACATGTGAAACAATGAAATTAGAACATTTCCTCACAATACATACGAAAATAAACTAAAAAATGTATCGAGGACCTAAATCTAAGACTAGAAACCATAAAACTCCTTGAAGAAAATATAGGCAGAACAGTCTTTGACATAAAGCAATATTTTTGTGATCTATCTCCTAAGGCAAAAGAAAGAGCAGTAAGAAACAAACAAGTGGGACAAAACTAAAAGCTTTTGCACAACAAAGGAGTAATAGATGAAAAAAATGACAACCTTCTGAATGAGAGAAAATGTTTAATATTTCAAAACGATGTGACTTGAGGCAGTTAATATCTTCAATATATAGACAACTCATACAACTCAATGTGAAATAAAAACGAACAACCCAAACAAAAAATAGGCATTAGAATAAAGAGGACATACATGAAAAACTGTTCAACACTGCTAATCATTAGAGAAAAGCAAACTAAAACCACAATGAGATATCACTTCATACTGACACCTTTCAGAATGACTATCACCGAAAAGTCTGCAAACAACAAATTTTGATAAGATGTGCAGAAAAGATAACCCTAGTACACTGTTGGTAGGGCTGTAAATCGGTGGATCCACTGTGGAAAACACTATAGAGGTTCCCCCCAAAACTAAAAATAGAACCACCATGTGATCCAGCAATTCTATTGCTGGGTATATCCTAAGACAGTGAAAACACTAATTGGAAAAGATATAGGCAACCCAATGTTCATAGCAGCATTATTTATGATAACCATATATAGGTATAGAAGCAACATAAGTGTCCATCAACAGATGACTGGAAAAAGATGTGGCATACAAACATACACACACACAGAGGAATATTACTTGGCCATAATAAACAATGAAATTCTGCCATTTGCAATAGGGTGTATGGCGCTTGAAAGTATTATGCCTGGTGAAATAATGCAGTGAAAGACAAATGCTGTATGTTATCACTTGCATGTGGAATATAAATAGTAAAGTGCTTATAACAAAGCAGAGAAAGGCTCACAGATACAGAGAAATAACTAGTGGTTACCAATGAGAAGAGGGACAAGATCCTATGGAGTTAAGAGATACAAACTACTGTGTATAAAATAAATAAGTAAAAAGCCTATTTTGCACATCACAGGGAAGTATAGCCATATTTTGCAATAATTTTAAGTGGAGTATAATCAATAAAGATGCTGAATTACTATATTGTATGCCTGAAACTAATACAAATTAACTATGCTCCAATAAAACAAATAAGTGAAACAAAAGAAACCCTGAACCAAAAAACCTAAAGAAGATCAACTGCATTTGTAATTAATGAAATAGACACTAAAGCAAATATAATTTGGGGGTAACCTGATGAGTAAAATTTGGTTAGCACACAATTTAGCTCATTAACAAATATACCTTTACCATCTGAGGACTACTTTTATCTACAGTACCAAAGGTTACTTGGAGAAAAAAATATATATTTATTTAAAAATATAAATTTCTAGTGTAAGTGTCAATTTTTCCCTAAACATGCCTCCTGCCTCTGTATGCAGCTATGTAAAAGAGAGCCAAAACTTGACTGTGCAAGAATTCTTTCCAAGTATAGCTGAAGTCAATGCAGTTTGAATGCATGAAGTGGTAAGTGGATACTTAAATTTACCCCAAAGACTTTTACCTGACCGATTTTTACCCTAAGACAAATCCTAGTAAAAACTATAGTGGCTTGTTATCAGAAGTACTTGCTTTCCCATCAGGACAAAAGTCCTACCCATGGAAGTCGAGCTCTTCATTGGAGTGCTGATGAAATGGAAGGAATCAAGTGAACACAGACTTAACTTCAATCTTACATGCTTGGTGATCACAGATGATTTTAGAACATTTTATATTTTGCTTTTTATGTACCTCGAAGTCTTGTGAAACAGATCGTGCTTGTATTTATCTTTCATTTTATATAATTTACCAAATTCACCCAGAAAGGCAACTATGGAATCCTTTATCTTTTGGTCTTTTTACTACCATTATGGATTATTTCACAGGAATGAATATTATAATGTGAATGTGTATTTTCACCTGAATGGATACTATAATAAAGGGAGCCTGTTTCAGAGTTATTTCAAATGGGTGCAACAAAAGACTTTCTCTTTTCCTTTAAGGTTAAAGACAAGAACAGCAGGCATACTGTACAGGTGCCATTCAATCACAATGAATAAAACCAATGTTACGTAGACTCTACCTGTTGAAGTAGGTATGTTCCAACCTGTTGTCACTGATTTTTTGAAACAACCTTAAAGATTTTAATTATTTAAAAATTCAATGTCCTTAAATTACTTAGGTCATTAGCAGTTGTCTTGCTTCTACCATGTAAAGTACTTTCACTTAAGTTTTTTCCAGATAATGATACCTGCCTGATTTTCAAAATATTCATTTACTGCTGTTAATACTTCATTAGATTTTATTAAATTTAAAAAACTTACATAAAATTACATAATTACTCTCATATTTTGTGTGTTTAATAAAACAGTGGTCTTTTTTTAGCAACTATACAGACTAAAATTAACTCAACCTACAATTCCAAATTTTGGCAAAAATTTGAGCACTGTTGAGCACTGTTGGTTGATGTATAGATTTATACAATAACTGGAAAAATTTTTAGTGGTAACTACTAAAGTTAAACAGATGCACAACCCTACGATCCAGTGTACACATTTGTAATTTTCACGTAATTCTAAGTAGGAAACCACCAGGAGCTTTTGTGCCATATCGCAACGAGCATCCTTCTAGCTCATATAAATACAGGACAGATAGGCTTCAGTTGATCTAGGTAGGGCTTAGGTGGGCTTTTCTCCAGATCATGGGTCAAGTGCAATGCCAAACTTCCTGGGTTACATTCTTTTCATAGCTCCAAGTGGACAAGCAGAGACAGTATACGTCTCTAAGGCAAACGACAATTCCACCCACATTCCATTGCCAATGTAAGGTGCATAGGTGTATGTCCAAGTCTGTCGTCAAGAAAGCAAATAAATTTATCTTTGCAAAGCTTATTTCTTCCATGAAGATTTTGAAGATAGTTCGATGGAAACATAAATGTAAAGAGAAAAAATATAGTAAATTAAAAAACAAACAGTAATTAGAATCCAAAAACTTTGGGAAAATATAAAATTATCTAACATGATTAATTCCAAGGAGAAAAGAGAGAGTAGGGAACACATAAGTATGTGAAGACTTAAGGCCAAGAATTGTCTGAAATAATAGAAGACAACAAATAACATATCCAAGATTGTCAGAGAACAGTAAGCAAGACCATATATATTACCAAAACTGACTCAAGAATAAAAGGAAAATAAATATACTAGTTACCACTGAAGAAATTACAAGATTAGCTTAAAACTTCTCTAAAGGAGAACATTAGATGGGTTCCAAGTGAGTTCAACACACATGCAACAAATTACAGCAGGTCATTCTACTCTTACACAGATATCACTTAATTGTCAAACAAGTACAAGACTCAGTATGGAAGGATTTCACTGTAACCATCAATATAAAAGTATCAAAATATTTTTTAAAATTTCTCAGGAAATGAAGGATGGCTTAATATTAAAATATCTATTACAAACTAATGAAGAAAGAAAAAGTAATAATCTGCATGGATAACAAAATATCCTTTGGTTAAATTCAGAAACTATTCCTAATTTTTAAAGCTCTTAAAAATTTAGGAATAAAAGATAATTGCTTTCCTGACAAAGAATATATACCATAACTCTAGAGCAGTTAATATTTAACAGTGAAATGTTAGAACTATCTGCTTAAAAGTCAGAAATTAGACACATTTTTCTATGAAGAAGCAAACTGATTTACATGTAGATAATATGGTTATCTGTCTAAACTGTCTAGGTTATATGCATTTTTAGAATTAAGAATGTTTAGCAGACTTTCTATATTGACTATCAATAAGCAAAATATAGTTACTTTATAAATAGTAGTCACAGGTAGTTTAAAAATAAAATATAAATAGTATATACCATTTATAAAATCACCAATAAATATAAGAACCAAAGAACAACCCTAACAAAAGATATGCATACTGTTCATCAGGAAATTTAATTTTAATATTTTCTAAGCAATATTAAAGTAAGCCTAAGTCAATTGAGAAATATAACTATTTTTAGTCAGAAATAAATACCATGAACATATCACTTGCTCCAAAATGGTTTGTAAATAAAATTCAAGTTCAGCTTTTCTGTGGAATTTAATATGCTGATTTAAAATTATATACAGAACAACTATGAGTTGTTAACATAATTTTGAGGATGAACAAGTCGGGGAATTTTCCTTTATGACATCAAAATGTGTTGTGAAGCTACAGTAAATAAATCAGTGTGACATGCCCCAAGGTAGGTAAATAGATCAAAATAGACCCTACAAGCACATTCATGTACACAGAAAATCTGACTCAAGACAGCATACACCATCACGCAAACAAGGTAGAATGAAATGTCAATAAAAGTATAATATCCAAGGTGGTACTTACTTAGCAGTAAATTTATAACCTAGAGATATTTATTTATAAATTAGAAGTAATAAATATAAATGATAAAGGATTTAAATCAAAGCTCTGTTTAACTGGATAAATAGAATACATTTAAAACTTAAGAAATATGGTAATATAATAAACTGGCAGAAATCTGGAAACAATAAAAAAGCATGTGTTTGTTATGCTTGGGGAAGTCATCCATCTTTGGCGGGAGTGAAAAATGGTATAACTGGTTTTGAAACAATTCTGTAATATACAGTACAGCTGAAGATGTGTGTCACGTGACCTAGAAATTTCTCTGTGTCTATAATCTAAAGCAGCTCACTCTCGAAAGCACAAAGACCCATGTTTAAAAATGTGTATTTTAATAGCACTTATAATAACACAAGCTGGAAACCACCTCAGTAGTCTTCTATGTGATACTAGTAATATCACTACTATAAATTATAGTATTTTCATAGAATGGAATATAATACAGCACTTAACACAAATAAAAAAGAACTACATGTATTTGCAGGCTGTATTTCAGAAGCAAGATTTATCTGGAAAAAATTAAATATGGCAAAATACTAAAATTTTGATTCTGGCTATATAGATATATGATTTTAAGGAAGTCTGTGCTTGTATGAATTATTTTATGATAAAAGCCCTTTTTCAAAAGCAGTTAGAACTGTGTTAGCCAAAATGTTAGCTATTTCAATCTGGTCCCAAAGTCACAAATTTTCACTGTTTTAAAAGAATTCTGCTTACCAACTCAAGAGTTTTCCCAAGTATTACATAGGAAACTATTGTTAGATGGAATTCCTACAATGAACTTTCTAGGTCCAAAAGAATTCTGTGCAAAATACTGAATTCCTCTGTTAGGAGTGAATTTTATCTAGAGGCACTCAAAAAAAGAAGGGATTTAAGGGATGACTATCTTTTAAATCACTTTATGGCAAAGTTTTGCTTTATTTTCAAGTGAATACTTACCCAAACTCCTATATACAAAGCGTATATAAATGGATCGGTTCTGCCCCCCCTAAATATTTTCTTGGACAAAAGGAAATAGCACTCCTTGGAGAAATGGCTGATTCCAGTCTGAGGCAGGGTTATGGGTGATGAGCCTGGGACATCTTGTGCCAGAGTGAAAAGGCACATGGAGACTAATGGTGTCACATCAAAAGGACACAGGGGCCAATTTGAAGGAGCTCTCACTGGCCTAAGATGGGACATCCAGGAATCAAGAAAGAATAATGACTTCAATACATTAAATACATCATGGTCTACCATTTGCTAATGATGCCAAAAGAAGCCTAAGACAAAATCAACAGCCCTCAGCAATGACCATAGAGAGTGACTGGACACAAAATTCTTAGAAGTGGGAAAAATGCAAACAAACAGAAACAGGAGACCCAGATGTCCGCCTGTTCATACGTTTTTCTTGCCCTGCCAGACTGTGGTTTGAAAATGACTGAAACAGGACATGTTTCCGTAGGACACACACATTTTCTCTAAGAACGTCCCAGCAAAGGGCTGCTCACACTGTCAGCCTCTGCCAAAGCGAGGGTGGTGGTAGAGAGTCTAATCCTGATCCTCTTAAGATAACCATTAATCCTTACCAGCATTTCTTTTAAGAATACTTTTCCTCAGCTACCCCCATAGATGAAGAAAACTAAGAGGTAGAAACTAGCAGTTATAAAAAATAAATGTTACAATGATGTAATGTGCAGCATAGGAAATATAGTCAATATTTTATGATAAATTTGTATGGTGTGTAATCTACAAAAATAGTGAATCACCATGTTGTCCATTTGAAATGAATATAGTACTGTAAATTGACTATACTTCAATAAATTTAAAATTTAATTTTAAAAAGAATACTTCTCCTTAAAACTAAAGTTTGTATTTCTGAAGTTTGAATACTTTTCCCTAAAGAAAACTAAACTTTGGATTTTATCCACTGGGTCCTTTTCTCCCATGAGGCATTAAAGATAAAGAGGCTAACCATCTTTGACATGACCATCCTTCAAGTGGGTGCAGGCAGCTTTCAGGTATCCGTCTGTCAGATCCAGGTTATACACCACCTGTTGCTTCCTTTAACTCTTGACCATATGACATAGTTTTTGTTCCTATCCCATCTGGGTCTACTGGGTATACCATATTTCATTCTCTTTCTTTCATTTATATAAGCACTTAGAATTAAAGATGAAACTCCCTCCATGTGGAACATGACCAATCCAGCATAATGAGGAATTATTGTTAATATTTGTTAACATGTCCCATATGGTCATTTGGCTGTATAATCAGGGCACAGAAGAGAAGCACTGTGCATAACATTTCAGGTTTGGAAATCTGGTGCTACTCAGTAATCACTGCACAGTTTAAGAAAGTGGCTGAAGGAGGAAGAATGATTTCACCCTCAGGACCTCATCATGGGTGCATTTCACACACATTGCAAGAGGATAAAAACCTGATGTTTGGAATGGCATTTTGTTTTCCTTCACGCCATGCAATTTGTGCCTGAGACTTGATGCTATGTGAGGGATACTGAGAACACAGCTATTTTCTATAGGTACTTCCTGAAAATAATTTGGCAGGCTCTTAGTGAAATAATTACTGTACTCTATTGCCTTCATGAAAAATTGATTTGCAGTATTTTATCATTTGTTTTTATATGCATAAAATAGAAAACAAGAACAATATGTAATTGTGACAATTGTAGGGTGGCTAGATATTCTCATTTTGGGAAACTTTAAGCTTTAGGTCCATTTTAGAAGATGGCTCAGGACCTGCAAAACTTTCCAAAACAATGGAAGGAATTATGGGTTTGGTTCCTCAATTTACAATATACTCTAGAAAGATGAGATCCTTTAGGTTTGGGAAGGAAGTGAGAATTGAGAATAAATAAATGTCTATATAAAGAAGACATCTCATAAACACTGACTATTAAGTTTATTGTTCTCATTATTGCATAAATAAAGGTCACTAAAAAAGGATCCTTCAAGACATTTCCTGAATCATAATTAATTCTGCCCACACTGATTTTTATACAATCTTTCTGATTTTTTTCAAGTGTTTAAAATTATTATTTGATGCTATTTAAGCTCTGTGTTTTTCTAAAATCACCACTCTGCACTTGGTGGTTAGAATATGAGATAGAAGAGTTTCAGGAAATACATAGCAATAGCAAGAAAAGAGACCAATGGAATATTTGAAGAAATGAAGAATGAAAGGCTATAGTGTCACAAAACAAGCATAAGTATGAACGTTTCATTTATTCAACAGTTTTTAAAACTAACTGAATACTGTGGGCCAGGTAATGTGCAAGATGCCGGATATAATAATGGGTAATAATTAAGTTTTGGTTTTCATGCAGTTTACATTCTAGTGGGGAAGAAAGACATTGAACAAATACATTATATAAAGACTTTAATTAACTGCAGTTGCTATACATGATATGAAGGCACTTTTTGATTTGTGATGAGAGTGAAAAGTCTAGCAGTGATCACGTCTAGGGAGGATGGTGACACCGGTCTTCTTTTGGGCAACCCGAGTTAAACAGAGAGCAGGGTCAGGCAAGGGGAGAACGGAGGCATGCGCACTATTTTATGTATAATTCTCCTTCATCCAGAAAGCTGCAGGCCCTGAGAGCAGCTTGGCAGGTTCAGAGAAATGTATCCTGAACAGAATGAAACAGTGACAGAATGTGAGGGGACTGCAGGGACGGGCAGGAGCAGGGTTGCCCAGGGCTTTGCAGGCCATGCAAAGTTTTGCCTTAGAAACAGTGCCATCAAAGAAAATTTTAAAGTGAGTAACATGGTTACACATTCAAGTTTAAAATGTCATTTTAGCTATTGAAGATTGAAAGGCGAGATTTATTTTTTTGTGTTGTTTGTTCTTTCTCTGTTGTAGCATCAGGTATTTGAGCCTTGCTGTATCCATTGGCAGAATCAAGGGAAGAGATTAAATAATTTTGAAGACAAAACAGCTCTTTAAGTCTGTGACCTGAATTACCCTGACATTCTTGCTTTGTTCCTGTGCCTCGGCAAATCTGATTTCCTTTAACTGTTAGCAATAACTCCTACGCCTGCTCTTCAGATAATTTGCTTTTTAAGATCCACGTCTCAAAAGTACGATTGTCAAGTGCAGTTATGAATGGTAAGGAGGGAACAAAATTATCATTTATGCAGATGATGTGATTGTCTCCCTAGAAATTCTAAGCATCACTTGAAAAAAAAAAACAATAAGAACTAAAGAGTGCTCAGAAAGAAGGCGAGATACAGATACATCTTCAAATAGTCAAGACATTTTCTACATATTAGCAGTAACCAAGTAGGAAAAAAAAGATAAAATCACTTTATAATAATTAAATACATTGTAGTGGGTTGAATGGTGGCCCCTTAAAAAATAGGTCTAACCAGAACCAGTGAAAGTGATCTTATTAGAAAAAGTGCCTTTGCAGATAAATCTTGAGATGAGTTTACCTGGATTACTTGTGTGTGTGTGTTTAGACGGTCATGTCTGACTCTTTGCAACCCCATGGACTATAGCCTGCCAGGCACCTCTGTCCATGGGATTCTCCAGGCAAGAATACTGGAGTGGGTTTCCATTCCCTTCTCCATTGGATCTTCTTGACTCAGGGATCGAACCTGGGTATCCTGTGTGCCCTGTATTAGCATGTAGATTCTTTACCGTCTGATGCTCCAGAGAAGTCCTAAATCCAACTACAGTATTCTTACAAGAGACAGAAGGAAAAAAAGATGTGAACAGAAAAGAGTGAGGGCCAAGTGAAGAGAGACAGAGATTGGCATGATGCATCCATAAACCAAGGAACTCCCAAGCTACCAGAAGACGGAAGAGGCAGGGAGTCTTCTTCCCTTGAGACTACGGAGGGAGTGCACTCCTCCTGTCACCTCAGTTTTAGACTTTTAGCTTCTGGAATAAACTTCTATGGTTTCAAGCTATCAATATTGTGATAATTTGCTGCATTATCCACAAGGAACTGTTAGAGCACACAAGACCCTTAACTCTTCTTCTCCTGGGTTCCTAATCCCGGTAAAGAGAGAAACTACCCTCTTTTTTGGAGCATGGATTGATAATCTGATTGCTGTCTCTTTGGGCTTCCCTGGTGGTTCAGACAGTAAAGAATCCACCTGCAATGCAGGAGACCTGGGTTCAATCCCTGGATCAGGAAGATTTCCTGGAGAAGGGAATGGCAACCCACTCCAGTATTCTTGCCTGGAGAATCCCATGGACAGAGAAGTCTGGTGGGTTACAGTCCGTGGGGTTGCAGAGTCGGACACAACTGAGTGATGAAGCATATGCATATTTCTTGGCTACAGGAACCGAATGAACCACTGTGCAGCTAAAATTATTCTCATCTCAAAACCTGATGCTCTGGGTTTTGTGGAGATGTCACCAACTCTATAATGAGGATTCTCACACTTCCCTATGGAGGTCCACATGGCGAAAAACTGAGGTCTCCTGCTAGCAATTAGCTCCTATTTGCAAGCCATGTGAAGGAGTCATCCTGGATACAGGTCCTCAGCTGTGCAGCTGAGCCTCAAAATGATCCACCTTGAGTGGGTACTTGAAACTTCCTCAGAGTGTCTGAGCCAGGACTACTAGGCTAAGGCACTCCTGAATTCCTGAACCAAAGACTGGGAGAAAATACTTACTATTTTAGCTACTGAATGTTGGAATAATTTATGTTTTAGTAGATAGCCTAACTTCCTTGCCTCCTCTTTTGGTCACATCTCTCCTTTTCTCCATTAATTCTCCTGCTCCTCCTCTTCCTTTTACCCTGTTCCCCCTTTTATATCCTCCTGACTTTCCATCAACACCTCTTTTCTTTTGTCTTCCCTTACCTCTCTCCTCCTCCCAGCTTCCTTTCCTCCATCAGAAAGTTATAATGAATGCTCGCTTCATGCTGGGTGTCCCAAAGCTACGGACATTAAAAACACAGTCCTGCCCTCAAAGGAGGATTTAATTCTCATTGGGTTATGGACACAAAACAGATAATTTCAATGGCACTTTTTTCCTTGTGTAATAATTTCATGCAGGGGGAGCACAGGGGAGGAAGAGTCTAATTCACTCTGAAATTCACCAGAGGGACGGAGATGAGCCATGGAGGTGTCCAGGAAGGACTCGTCTGAGCAAGGTAAAAACATTTACAAAGACCACGAGGGCATGAGAGAGAAGGACCAATTCAGGGAACTGATAGTAATTCTGCTCTTGCTAAAGTGCAAGGTATTGAAGACAGAGTGAGAGATTAAATTATCATTTCATCCTGAACTAAACAGTAGGACAGTGATACCATAAAATATATGGTATCCAGTAATCATGTATGGATGTGAGAGTGGGACTATAAAGAAAGCTGAGTGCCGAAGAATTGATACTTTTGAACTGTGGTGTTGGAGAAGACTCTTGAGGGTCCCTTGGACTGCAAGGAGAACCAACCTAAAGAAAATCAGTCCTGAATATTTATTGGAAGGACTGATGCTGAAGCTGAAACTCCAGCACTTTGGCCACCTGATGTGAACTGATTCGTTGGAAAAGACCTTGACGCTCAGAAAGATTGCAGGTGGTAGGAGAAGGGGACAAGAGAGGATAAGATGGTTGGATGGCATCACTAACTCGATAGACATGAGTTTGAGCAAGCTCCAGGAGTTGGTGATGGACAGGGAGGCCTTGCGTCCACAGGGTCACAAAGAGTTGGACTCGTCTGAGCTGAACTGATACCAGAAAAAGGTTAGACTTGAACTACTCACATAAAGTTCTTTGAGCCTGGCTTTGCTCACGTTAAAGCATGAGTATATTGCCCATCTCATAAAGCCGTGTGATAATCTGAGAAAACACCTTGTAGATGCCTGACATACATAGTAGGCACTCAGTTTGTGTTTCCCTTCCTCCATCATCATACCTTCAAGACTTTAGACCTCAAATCACCCTCTAACATCTACTCTTCATTATAAGGATGTTGAAAGAATAACACTATGAGAGGTATAATAATAAAGCATTAAGACTTATTTCTCTATCCATATATATTGAAATAAATGTTTCCCCCCTTTCAGTGGTCATCACTTGGGTAATTACTAGGTTTCATTTAACTTTATATCATTTAACCTTGGGAAGAAAATGGCTGGAGAATGGGAGGGAAAGAAATCACCTTTCTGAGACTTTTTGCCGTAAGAGCCTCTCTTCCTGAGTACAGTGATCAAGGATCTTGCTACAATTTAGTGCATCCAGAATGTTCATGCTGAAAGCATTTCCTCTGGATAGTGATGCCCCTGAGAGGAATGAATTCCAGGTCAGCACATCCCTTCTTTATTAGAATTCACTGCACTTGCATTTGAAGTCTGGTGTGACTGCCTAGCCTTTTGAACTTTTCAGAAGAGGAGGTGTTGCATGAATACCAGAAATTCTTAGATTTTCTGTATGAGATACCTACTTGTCCAGAAGAGTTTATATGTATGCCTCATCTTTTCCTCAGATGCTGTTCCCAATTCTTAGTTTCAACTATTTTTACTCCAGCTTTTTTTTGTTTTTTAGCCCCCAGATCTGGCTTCTCCATCTTATGTCTGCTTAAGATTTTAGTTTTCTGGCTATCAGCCACTCAGTCTCATTTGAAAGGAATCTTAAAACTCTGTACATTTCCCAATCAGGTGCAGAGTTTAATGTGCTGAAGTTTTCCTTAGATTGTGTTTGCTCTTCTCTTATCCCTTGTGGATGAGGACATATGGAAAATGTTAGCTGAGGTTTGCATACTGGGTTTTGGGGAGATCTGGCTGTGACATCTGTCACTATGCTGCTTGCTGCCTTAACTCAGCTGATTGGCTGGCAGACATAGAGGTATGGAGAGTGGAACTGTACCCCTCTGCATGGATGTATAGGGAAAAGCAATATGAAAAATGATTTTGTCCAATCCCTTCATTGCAGATGGGTAAAAAATTGAGACCTAGGACACTAGATAGTCTTATCCAAAATCTTACTTAGAAAGAAGCATAGGGAATAAAACTCTTGGTTATTTTTGTCTGTAATTTGCAACCCCATCCTTTGTAAGTGTGCAGAAAAATGTGTTTTGAAAGAAATAAAATATATTTTGCAGTTAGACATAAGCCTGCTCCCTTCTGGGGAGGTGACCTTGTGGACAGTGCTGTTGCATGGATTGTAGATAATCTATGTACAGCACTTTGTAAATTATAGCCCCTCAATAAAAGTTAGCTTGACCATTGACCAGGATGAGAATGCCTGAAGAACTCTGAGTTACACACTGCCAAATGGATATGAGACATGCTAATCCACTGTACTAATGGATTAACAGAGTTATGTCTGGAAGCCTTACGAATGCTTGCTGGCAGCCTCTTCTGCAGTGCTGATTGTACTCTGGATGCGGAAATGGATTGGTGCCTTGCCTGCCGTGCATTTATATTCAACAGAAAAACAATCAGATTGAACTATGTAAGTTCTTTGTACTATCCTCAGAGAGAAAGATCTTCGAATCTGAACAGGGCCAACACTTTTCTTTCCCTTGAGTGGCAGTCCAAGCTATAGCCGAAACTTCTGGGAGAAGAGTAACTTCTCAGGGTATCTGGAGGCCATGTCCTTCTCCCTGCAAACAACTTGCAAGTGTATCCATAGGAAAATGAACTCCCCTGGCCCTTTATCCTTCAGCCTTTGCATAGGACCTAATAGTTCATGGAACACTTTAGTGTTTTATAGGCTCATTTTTTCATTCTCAAAATAATCATGTTAACAGGGCAAAGAGAATTATCCTTCCCGCTTTTACAAACAAGAACATTCTTCAGCAAGCATCTGCTTTATTAGAGTATGTCAGAGACCCTCACAATGCATGTTCTTCAGTATTGTTTCTGCACTGTCACGCCTGTGAGCCCAGTTGTTTGTTTAAGCTTCCCTGACCTGCATCCTACCAGCTTCTTTACCGCACCTCCTGCATCCATCCCTCCACCTCAGATCACTCTACAGCTGGTTGTAGTGTGGATAAAATGAGTGAATACGGGTTAAAATGTTTCAGATAGTGACCAGCTTGCA